TGGTATGATGGAGACTGCACTAATATTTTTACCTGTGAATGAATCTCATCCATGCAAAGCAAAGTTTAGAATGAGCCACTAAATTTCAAATAAGAATGCAACACACCATATTCCTGTGGAATGTGACCGTTAACCAGACCAAGCTCCCACGCCTTCTTGATGATGGGGAAAGGATACTGTAAAGGGAGACAACATGTCAGTGTTACCACTTTTAATTTCGTTGTACCTGTAACAATGACAATAAAGACATTATGTTTCTGATTGTGATTCTACTAAGCCTCTAACAATCATGCCAAAGGAAAATAAAAATAGAACACACACACACACACACACACACACACACACACACACACACACACACACCTAGAGTGGGATTTTCACGGCATATTCTGCACCACATCTCTGTGCGTTCATCATTTGTTTGAAGCCAGCTCACCTCCTGCAACCACTTTTCCGAGAATACGCGCTTCTTTTGTGGTTCGGACTCCTTCTGACATTTCTTTGGAGGTGGAGGAACACCAAAGTAATTGCTTAAAGGAGCTTGCTTCTTCGACATCTTTACGACTTCTAAAAATTTGACAATCGCTACAGCAGCCCAATCCTCGCTTTACTCACTTCACCACTCTTGTCATAAGCAGGAGCAACAGGTATGATCTCTTCTCGTGCAAACCTCCTCGCCAACTGCTGGAACTCCTTCTGCTGATCGGTCAACTCTGTGGGCCAAAGAAGCAACAAAGCATTTTAGCTTTATTTTAATAGATCCCTATAAACTACATCACTGGAGCGGTTATTTGCTAAACAAGAATTTCTTGCATCAGTTACATGAGACCCTACTTTAAAAACAAAATGATTACATTTTACTTTAGGGGATTTCAAAAGCCTCTTGGTCTGCATCAAAGAGGCTCTGTTTTTAGGAAATTTATTAATAAAAAAATAAAAAAAACCCATTCACTATATATTATATTACCAAGGCCTGCAGGCTACTTACGAAATGAGAAGCCAAGGGATGGAGCAGGGCTGCTGGAAGATGCTGTGGCACTGGCTGTAGCTGTAGAAGAGCTCTGCAGACGGATCCCACACCGCACACCAGCTCTGAGGACCTGTATGTAAAAAAATATAGGTATGCATCAGACAGTTTGTGACACCTCACACCTGTTAAATTAAAAACAAAAAGCCTAGTGTGAGGGCACTTTCTTAGCACTGTGAGTTTCCTGTTCGTGAATTCTTTACTCATATTCATAAGCCTGTGAGCCGTGGTGATGTTTGGCTGCAACCCAGGAATAGGAGCATTAATGTGGTTGAGTTATTTGTCTTTTACTGCCGTGTTTGACAGTTGTGTCTTCATATTCCTGTTTACTTTTGTAACAGTGCTTTTCAATCGCTTGTTTGTTTGCTGAGTTGTAACATTGAGATTTATAAAGGGGTAGAGTCTGTCCCTTAAATTTCTTTGAAAACTCCAATGTTGCCCAGTCCAATTTAAAAAGGTAAACCTTTTGGTGTAACTAATGCACTAATGCGTATTTTGACAGTATAAAATTACGTGTAGATTTAGGAGAAACCTTTTTACATGTAGACTAAATGAACATTCCTCTGATAACGTCTCATAACGCTACAGCACTGAGCTAGCTAACGCTAGCGTGTGACGTAGTCGCTAAACGTGCAGAAAATCGGATGAAGATCGATAAACTGTCAATCGGGAGGTGCTCACAGAAAATCTTTAAGGAGTTAACCCACAACAGAGACAGGTATATCATTGTTAAGCTAGAGAATTTTACCTTGTTCAGCAGCATTGTTATTGCACCAAAGGACTCTCTGCACTACCCGTGTACTACCTTTGCCCTACTTCTACATAAGCGTCCTCTCACCCAATCAAAGCAGTGACATTAGTCACGTGTCATTGCTTGGCCGTGACTGTGACTTTTACCCCAGTTAGTTACTTAAAAGCTTCACCTTACAGCAGATATCACTTTAAAATGCGTTAAAGCACAGAAAGATTACTTTAGCCAAATAAAACGAAGCTAAACCTAGATGTTTTTTCCCCCAAAAAATAATCATTAACTAAAATAAAACGCGACCAAGATTAGGCTTTAGTGCACATTTATGGAGAATTTTTACAGGTGGAAAGTAACGAAGTACAAATACTTAGTTACTGTACTTAAGTAGAATTTTCAGGCATCTGTGCCACACACCGTAACTTTAAATCCATCACAGTACAACCAGCTAACCTATTTACCCTGTACTAAAAAGCAGCGGACTTTAATGCAACCTTTTAAAAACACAGTTAGTCTGCTATGGTTTGTGTTGCAGCAGGTTTCACAATATGAAAAAAAATCTGATTCTAACATCTGATTAAAAAACACAGGACTTATCTCTCTCTT